GACGACGAGGGCGGGGGCCGGGAGCCGAGCCGGGCGACTGAAAGAGCGAGCGGGTCAGGCTCCGCGTCGGCCACTCTCTCCGTCCGCTGAATGAAGTGCCCGCCCCGCTGAGCCCGGAGCCCGGCGCTTTCCCCCGCAAGATGGACGGTTTCGCCGGCAGCCTCGGTGAGTACGGCTGGGAAATCCTCCCTGGGCTGCCCAGGCTGGAAACTTGGTTGCCTCTCCAGACAGCCCAGGCCCTGCTCTCCACCCTGCCCCTCGGGATGGCGGTGGTTCCACTGCACATGTTCCCCTCGAGGCTGCCGCCCCTCCGCTGGCTGCGGTGGCCTCGGAACCCCTCCCCCCTGCCCGGCCCTCCTCGGTGAGACCCCGCTTTCCTTCCAGCGCCCCTCGGTGCCTGGCCCTCCTCTCCCCGAAGCGGGAACCCCTCCTCTCCGAGAGGCCCCGAGAGCTGGTACGCCCGTCCCCATACACTCAGGGCTCCCCCTACCCAGACCCTTTTTCGAGGTATAACATTCCTCCCTTTTTTCCACACACTGAACTCTCGGAGTCGGGACACCCCTTACCCACGCAGAACCCCCCTTTTTAGTGTAGGGACCCCCCCGTGTCTTCTCAGGAAGGAGGCACCCCCAAACCCCCGTCTTCGCTTTGACTTTTGAAGACTTCTTGCATCTTTCAGTAGCTGACAACTTCCCCTCACTTCTCTGAACATTTTGCAGCGGTGGAGAGAACCAGAAACACCGAGGCATCACTTGTTTAATACAGAGAAGGAAGAGGTGGCTTCGGTCTTTGGGGACCCGCTTTAAGAGGAACGAAAGCAGGATTTTTATTTTTATTTTTTCTGGCTTTGCCAGCATCTTGGGGAGACGTAATCCTGCCCGGTGAATGCATAGGAAAGGGGGCCTTTGTCAGGGGAAGAAAGGATTCTCCATTTTTGGAGTCTGCTGTCTTTGTGGAATGGAGAAAGGGAAGAGGTTATGAAGTAGGCTCGAGTATCCTTTGTGTCCCCTTTCACCCAAATAAAGGTAGCAAATTTTGTAACTGGCTCCGGAAACCAGAACTTGAGGCTGGTACTCGGGGCCCCTCTAACCTGTGTCTGGAATTCCTGTTCTTCGAGGCCACCGGAATCCGGTTACTGTAAAAGATTGAGCTCGATTGTGGTGATGGTGAGAGAAACCGTTTCTGCTCTGGCTGATCCTGCAGTTATGTGATACCTGCTGCTGGATTTGTATTCGGAGTATTCTATTTAGAGGTAGCTTGTATGCAAACACCTTCTTTTTGCATTTCTTGATTACCAGTCCCTAGTTGGTTCATGTTCCTGGATCAGTGCACGATCGGGCCATGTTGGGATTAGATGGGTTCTTAAATCTCAAGTGAAAAAGTCAGCCCAAGAGCAATGGGCCTATTATAAGTATTAAATGGCAAAACACTGTAACTGGGGCCCTTTCTTTGGGAAGAAAACAACGTTAGAGTGCTCGGAGAGTGAAATCCTAAAATAGGCAGCTGAGTGTTACTCTTTTCCCCCCCAAAGGCACCTGTTGTCCATTTTCTAGTCTTTGATTCCTTGCATAGTGAGGTGGTTTCATTCTTAGGCTCCTTTTATTTTATTTTTTTGAATATATTTTTTATTGATTAAGATATTAAGTATGTGTCCTTATCCCCCACATGATCCCCTACTCCCCCACCCCCCCAATGCCCTCACTTAGGCTCCTTTTTAAAAGGCATCAACTATTCACTGCTTTTCCCCCCCGCTCCTGCCTGAATTTATTTGCCAATTATATTGTACCTAAAGACTTGTCTTATATGGTGGCAAGTGGGTGATCGTACACTGGGGCAAACATTGAGTGCCTTGAGGGATGCTGGCTCCTCAGCCTGTAGGAATGGTGGAATCACTACTCCTAGTAGAATTAGCTGTTCTGCTTCTCTCCTGTTGGTAAGGACTTGCCAAAGCTTCCTCTTCTGTGTTTTGAGGGATTCTTTCTCATCAGTTGGGGGACTAAGTTTTATTTTGAAATAGTGGATATGCCTTGTTAAATAACTTCATCCCTCTTGCCAATTCATGAGGCCACTTAGATGAAGGTGAATTTTAGTTGGGGCTCCCACGTTTCATAAAAAGCATTAGGGTTGACCTGAGTATTGGATTTTTTTTTCTTATTCATTTGATGCCATCCTTTCAGTGGTACATTGATGAAACTTTTCCTTTCTTTAGATATGGTGTTGATCAGCAACAGGGGTGATGCTGGTCTCTAAAGAGAGGAACCTGTGTCAGCAGAGAGGGAAAGAAATGGTTCCTGGCAGTATTTCTGGAGCTGATCTTGATGAAGATACTTCTCAGCAGGAGCACTGTGCTTTATCTTTCTGTGCCCCTTGTCAGAGAAAAACTAGGCCCCATCTTAATTGAAACCTTAAAGGGTTGGGGTGTGGGAGGGATAGTGCTGGTATATTTTACTGGTAGCCTTTAAGCAGAGCTTTGCTCGCTCTTGCCAGATTGCCTGTTTCTGTTCTCTGCAGTTCATTAGTCTAGAGCTGAGAGTTACATTGATCTTTATTTTATCATCAGGAGAGCTATGAATGTAAAGGCAAGCACTTGTATTCTAGTAGATGTTTAAAAACTTTTATTTAACCAAACAAGAATTCAAAACATGTGAAGTTCTTCTGGGGTCACAAGTATTGAAAGCGTTTGTTTATTCTCAAGGAAGTGTATGTGTGAATCTCTTTTTATACACTAGATGGGGTTCTTAAAAAGGTAGTTTATAGTGAAAAAACTGTATTTTTATAAGCAGAAAAGTTGAGTGCTTTATAAACAGAATGATTCTAGAGAAACTGATTATTTAAGGGAATCTTATGGTAAATCACTTTGTAAGTGGAAACCTTTTAAAATTTAAACTGTACCCTTGTTGAGTGTTGAGATAAAGAAAACATTCTATTATGTGCATTTAATAAGATGTCGAATGGCAATTAAAAGTGTGTGTAGTGGTTTTTGAAATAATAAAGAGGAATGTTAAGTGACTGGCCATGTTATGTGCACTACATTGAAATAATATGCCAGTTGTATCACTTTTGTTTTACGTAAAGCATTTAAGGATGCTTTAAATCTCTGCAGCTGATAAGTTTCAGGCAACTTGGCTGGCAGGTGCTTGTACTTTGGAATTTCCCTTAGGCTAGTAGCCTTTCGTTTACGAATTATAATTAAAAATGGCAGCACTTTGGAAACGATTTTTTAAAAACTGTGTGTGTGTGTGTGTGTGTGTGTGTGTGGTGGGGGAGTTCCCTGAACAATCTATCTTGATGTCCAGCCTCCAAATCACTATATATGTATACATACACGTTCAAAATGTATATACAGTATATATTTTAAATCGTAGGGATATGTGCAAAAGTGGGAAGCTATTGACATGGCTTTTTTATTGATTTTCATAAGGCAGGGGATAGGTGCATTTCATGCTTAGTCTTTTTATTGTCTTTTAAAAATAAAGGTTTTAATTTTCAGAGTTTTATCTTGGAATTTACTACTACTAAAGTAAAAGACAACATACAGTTAACTATGTCAGTTTTAACTGTTTCTGCTCCGAAGATTTTTTTTAAACCCCCAAATAAAACTCAAAAATTTATTTTCTGAAGAAAGATTGTCATGAATGAGATTGTAGGGTTAGTATAAGAAACAACATTCTGGGTGCAGGATATATGAACAAATAGTAGCAGTATGCTTCAATTTATGAAATATTTTAAGAAAATATTTTTAACATTACAGTATTAGGACTATGATTCTTATCTCATATACTCTTGCTTTCTTAAAGGAACAATACAGCCTATGATTTCTACAAATCTAGTCTAAAGTATTCTTTATATATTTAGTCACATACAATGTTTCTCATGTTATAACATTATTTGGGGGAATTTCCTTTAAACTTTTCATTTCTTTTTTTAAAAAAATATATTTTATTGATTTTTTACAGTGAGGAAGGACGAGAGATAGAGAGTTAGAAACATTGATGAGAGAGAAACATGGATCAGCTGCCTCCTGCACACCTCCTACTGGGGATGTGCCCACAACCAAGGTACATGCCCTTGACCGGAATTGAACCTGGGACCCCTCAGTCCGCAGGCCGACGCTCAGTAGAGCCAAACCGGCTAGGGCTAATTTCTTTTTTTAAAAAAATATATTTTATTGATTTTACAGAGAGGAAGAGAGAGAGAGAGAGAGAGAGAGAGTTAGAAACATCGATGAGAGTGAAACATTGATCAGCTGCCTCCTGGACACCTCCTACTGGGGATGTGCCTGCAACCAAGGTACATGCCTTTGACTGGAATCGTACCTGGGACCCTTCAGTCCGCAGGCTGACGCTCTTATCCGCCGAGCCAAACCAGTTAGGGCTTAACTTTTAATTTCTTATTGGTTGTCTCTTAAAAGGCTGAAGATATATTACATGACATGAATAATAACTCTTACATGGTCCCTGCAGCATCTGTAATATGAGTTAGCTAGAGTACATGTATGTGGATTAACACCTATTTTATGACCAGTACTGTGTTTGCTTGTTCTTAGGGGAAGGACAAATCAGCCTTTTAGGCGCTTACTATCCAGTTTTAAATAGATATGTTTAAGCATAAGTAAAGTACTTGAAATGGGAGTAGAGGAGGGAAAAGCACCATTTAGAATGCTATGCACTGTATCAAGCTTGTAACTTCTGAAAGAACATTTGGAGATTGCTAAATTTATCTCTGTAGACCCTGGCTTTTTAAAACAATGGAGTAATATTAGGGAGTAATATTACTAGGTCTTTTTCTGTCTATATTTAAGTTTGAATAACTTGTGGGGAAAGTACTATGTTAATTTTATATATATGAGTCCATTTCTGTAACATGTAAAACTTCAATGTTCATAAGAAATTTGAGAAGAACATTATGATTTTAAATTAGATGGATTTTTTTTATTGCTAAAAGTATTACAAAGGGTATTACATATGTGTCCTCCCCCGCCCTTAACAATCCCCTGGCCGACCCTACCCCCCAGTGTCTTATGTCCTGAGATGGATTTTAAGGCATTAAAAAAGTAAGGAAGTAATCTTCATCAACTGTTGCTTCAGTGTGAAATATCTATAGTATATTTCTGAATCTATGTATGATATTTTGTCCTATAGTTTAGTTGTCTATAGTATATTTCT